CTTTGAAGACCCATAGGAAGAGCGTAAAGTAGACACCCCCCACTGGATTTACCAGAAGACTTTAAAACCTTTCCTTATAAATCTCCTAGCTCATTGCTATCGCTCATCTAAATATGTTATATACATTCTTCTTTAATTACCTAATAGAAACTAGTTAAAAGCATAAGAATTATAAAAGAAATATGAAAACTATATTTGCAGATGATATGCATAGAAAACCCGAGACAATCAATGACAAAACTAACTTGAATAAAAGGATTAAGTAAGACAGTGACTTATAAAATTTCATACAGAAATCAACACGAATTTTTGGGGGACACAATTCATTCTACAACAGGTCTGTAGGAAAGTTGTTCTGTTCTTCACATTTTTTTTCTTATAGTATTTTTGTATGAATGCTGTGCTCATTCTCTTTTTGCTTCTTATATTTGAATTAGTTGGATTTTTCTCTATAATTAGGAGACTCCTGTCCTATGTGTATTGATGGAGGTGGGTGGTCCTCAGGGTTGTTTTCTAGCATGTACCTCCCAAGGACTCCCTCCTTAAAATATGAAACATTTTCTTAAAGAAATGGCTTGGTTACTAAGAATTGACACAAAACAGTTTTTAAAAATTAGTAAAAATTTGGACAGTTTTATAAGAAGGACTTAAAAACAGTCAATAGCTTCTGGTAGTCCATAATGGTATAATAGTCTTAGGAAACAATATTGGGGAGGTATTTCCAGGAATATGAAACAATACCTAGTTTTAAACCCAAGTGCCTAAATCTCTAGCTAAGTACTCTAGGATGGAATCTTACTTCCCTTCAGCCTTTGAGTCCTACCTCTCCTACCTACACACACACACACACACACACACACACACACACACACACACACCATGATTCAGAAAATAAGTTTTCCTTAATGATTTTATGTTCTACAAGGAACTCAATTAGCTCTAGAATTTAGTCAATATTATTTGCTATAAAAATACCAGCAGTGTTCCAAAAGCAGCTTAAAATATTTCTCTTACAAATATAAAATATCTATGGTATGGTTTTCTTTCTGTGGCAATTTGGGTTTCTACAATAATTCCACTGCCTGTAAAATTATTTGGCTTTCTAAAGTAAACAACTGATTAATTTTAGTATAACAGAATTTTCAGAATAAAATAAATAATCATTATTATTTTGAAACACAGGCATCAATATGCTATGTTTCGTAAGGCAAAGAACTACAAATTTTTTTTGAGTGGAGTAAACAAAACACTGCAATTCAAAAGTTTTAGGTTCCACAATAATGATCAATACTTAATGATATTCGTACCTGACAACCAGAGAAAAATGTTATTCCCTAGATCTTCTTTAAATTCATCATTAAAGAAATCAATGGATTCTGGAAATGCTTCCTGGAATGTTGCATAGATAGCTTGTGCCAAACAATCAGGATACACCTACCAAAAACAGAGTCATATTAAAATAATTCCATATTTCATATAACATCTCAACTATCAAAGAAATTACTAAATTTGTGAGATATACGTGTCCCTTTTTTCTTATAGCTTGCTTTTGGCCATTTAGTACTTCTTTGTATTTCTAACTGAGGAATATGAACAAAGAAGAGGTGAAAATAAAGTCAGTCAATTTGGCTATTTGTTAGCATTTTGGGAAAAAAAAATTTAATTTGGATAAAGGATGAAGTTACAATTAAGATAAGATACTTTAATGATTCTACATTTATTTCATTTAAGCTTGCTATTGATACCCTCTTTCAGAAAAAGAACACTGTCTTTCAGGTCATTATAATAAAAAGCATATATATACATATATATATATTAATTGAAATATATTTGACATGTAATACTATGTGAGTTTAAGGTGTATAACATGTTGATACATTTGTTTACTGTAATATGATTACCACCGTGGCATTAGCCAACACCTCTATCACGTTACACAATTATCACTTTGAGTGTGTGGTGAAAATAAAGAACATGTTTTTAAATAATTGAAGCCTGTTTAGGTGAGTTAATATATTATAACCACAATTGTAAAATCATGATCAGATTTTATATTTGTATCATACAAATAGATGGTACTATCAGTATTATATTAGACTTAAAGTCGCTTGACTACTAAGCTTCTCTTGGGGACTGACTAAACACAGGAAGATACCAGATTTTTATAGTAAAGATTTAAAATATTTTATCTACTATTTTGGAAGGCTGGCAGACACCAGAAACTAGAAGAGGCAAGGAATGGCTTCTCCCCTAGGGCCTCTTAAAGAAACTAGCCCTGTTGATACCTTGATTTTAGTCCTATAAGACTCATTTTGGACTTCTGACCTATATAACTGTAAGACAATGAATTTCTGTTGTTTTAAGCCACTAACTTTGTGATAATTTTTACACCAGCAATAGGAAACTAATATAGTCACCTAATCCAGTAGTGCTAAAATCTGCTGGTATGGATGGTATTCTTTGAAGAACTCCATAAGTTTTTTTGGGTGGGGGAGAAGAGGAGGGGGAAGAATGCTTTAATATACTGATATATTTAATTACACTGAATGAACCATGAACATTTTTACTACCAGAAAAATCACATATTATAATTGCGGTATATAAAATCACACTAATAATCAAAGTTTAAAAGTTGAACAAGGTAAGTAAGAGGAACTTTTAAAAGTTTTCTGTGAATATCTCACCTTCAGGAAATTAGGGGAAAAAGAGATCAAGTGTCAAATGGTGTTGGGAAAATTTCTGAAGGAATATCATTGTATGACATTGGAAGAAACTGAAGCAAAAGCTATACTAAATATGTTCAGATTCAGTTAATTTGTACTGAATAGTGAGACCTGAAGCTAATTTTTTGATTCTTAAATTTTAATAGTTTTCTCTTTCTGTGGTAAGATAAATCAGATGAGCCAATAGTAACAAAACACCTTCTTATCTGAATGAGCTAAAAATAATAGAAATTGGTCAATGAGAGTTGAGGCTCCATTTCGACTTATAGAGCTGTGGAGGTAATAGACCTGTAGGGAGGTGGCGTGGTTCTCAAGCATTGAGATAGGGAGAGGGAACATTATAAAATGACTGAACAAAGGTCAAGGGGTCAAATCATTAAGGTGTACATGTTATTTGTTCTCAAGTGAGGCTTTGAATCTTGGTTAAACAACTTCTAATTTCTCCTTGGAAAAAGCTACTGAAAATAGGGACTTAGAAAAAAATTCAAGTCATGATTTGAGAAGGATTATAAATACAATATCTATCAAAAGGTACATCCATCCCAAGGGAGAACATTTGGACCATAAATGTAACACTAGAAATTACAGAATAAGGGATATGCAATGGTGCCACTACCTCCTTTGTTCACATTAAATAGGTCTTTTATTCTTTTCTTAAGAGCCCTGTGTTAAAGCATGCTTGATTTCATCAAGCCATGTGTATAGGCTAGAAACACCACAAAGGGATAGACTAGGTGAAAGCGTATGGATAGGAGAAACAGCTGGTTTTGTCATCTCTAGACGATTTTAATGACCAAAAATCCTAATCATTAACTATTATTTTCCTGCAAATAAGAAAAATAAATTAATATTAGCAGAGAAAATCTTAGTCTATCTTTCAGAACATTAGTGTTCTATAAACAATTTATGAATCATGGATCAACCTCTTCATCTGATGGACAACCAGCTGTAGAACTGAGAGACTGAATGTCTTGCGAAGATCACCTGGGTAATTATGAGCAGATTCCAGATGTGAAGCCAAATCTCCTTATGCCCAGTCCACTACTGATTTCCTTCTACGATACTGTATGTATATGTTTGTGAGATAGATCAAGATTGAGCATAAATATTTGGCAATTTAAATTTATGTTTTCATCATGAAGGACATTTATTTTTATTTTAGGTTTTACCCATGAAAACACTGACTGACTCAAAAATGCTTCTGTATTTCTGATTTACAGATGTCAGTACAACAAAGTATTTGAATGTGGATTCTGCTTTGAAACGCTAGATGTTTACATTTTAAAATACTCCATGAAATTCCTACATGTCTTCATTTCACACTACTCAAGAACATAAATTATTTTAACCAAATTATTTTACTATAACAGACATAGTAAAACATTTGATTCATAAATTTGTCCATTGTTCTTCACTGTAACAGATGCTTAGTACTTAGGCATAACACAAGAAGTTAAGTCCTCTTAGATCAAAAGATACTTTATAAAGTAAAAGAAAAATGATAATTTTGTAGGTAAAATACCAAGACTATACATAGAACAAGTCAATAGTTTTCAAATTATTAATATGCAAACAAATACATATACCACACTGAGGAGATTCTGTAAGGCTTTTAGTCAGTAGAATATAATATTCTGGGGTGGAGGGGCATGACTTTTTAAATATTATCATTATTTACTCTACTTTAGGCAATTTTGCTTGCAAAGTAACAAAATATGTTCTCATATGTATTTAAATAAAATAACTATTTTTATATTTCACTTGCTATAAAAATAATTAGCATAATTAGTTAATTTCTATATTTACCTGAAAGAATGCATCCTTTTGACTTAGAGGTATGCTCATGAAAAGTGACACATAACTTTCTGAAATTCTATCAAACAAGGAATCTTGACTTTCTCTTTCAGGCTTAAAAAAGAAAACACACATGGAATTAAAATCATTAATATTACAATTTAAAATTAGAATCTGTTTACATAATGTCAGTAACTCTATCTTCTTAAAGGGCAGATCAGTTGCTATAGTGGAATGAGCATGGGTTTTTGGCATCATGCAGACCTGAATTTGAATGCTGGCTCCATTATTCATTAGCAGCACTATTCCAGGCAAGTTAATTAAGTCCTAGTTTTCTTATCTGCCAAATATAGATAATATACACATACCTTGAAGTATTATCTTAAAATTAAATAGGGACAAGGATTATGTTTTGTTTGACTTAGTATTTCAAGCCCTCAGCATGGTGCCTGGCACACTGAAAGGACACCAACATTTGATGAATTAATGAAGGTTCTTGAATAGTCGTTGGCAATGCACAAGGCAATCAATGACATAGTGGCCTGCTATTATTCTATAACCATTCCGAATTTTTCATAATCAGTAACTCAGTATAAAATCAAAGCAATTACTGGAATGAGACAGCCATAGCCAGAACTAGTAAAATTGTGACATGAGAACTATACTAAAAACAAAGTAAGTAGAATGTCATAAGGAAGAAATCTGTAGATAATAATAATGTCAATATTGAAGTCCTAAGGTAGCACCTTGAATTATTGCTCTATTAAGCAATGAAGAGATAAATTAAAGTGCAAATCCATGAATAAAGCAATAAAGATGAATTAGAGTCCAAATTCGTTTATGATGTCAACAATAGAAGCATAAGCTGGCATTAATAGATTTTGGTAATAAACATAAAAAATGATCAAATTTAGTGGTAGCTTTCTATGAAATTAGCATGCCATATGAGCTGGGATTCATAAATGCATAGGATCTTAGACCTAAAATGGAAGTTAGATATCACCTAGGTTAAGCCCCTCTATTTTAGTGACTGCATTGATGCTCAGAAAGATTAAGAGAATTATTTAAGGTTATACACAGTTAAGTAACTGAAAGCCAGACTAGAATCTAGGTCTCCTAACTCCCAAAACAGCTTTTATGCTTGTGTAATAAGTTTATGGAAGGAGATAGTAGCAGAAATAATAATAATGTTAACAATTCTTGATCATTTATATAATGGGCAGTGGTTCTAAGACTTAGGGTTGTGTGAGAATTAAATGAGATAATATACAATTTACTAGTAGAGAAAGTTGGCATGTTTCAGTTACATAATCTACACTTAACATGTGTGATGAAATACCCAAACAGAAAGTTGTAGAACATGTCTTTGACTAATACAATTCAACCTAATGTCCACACAATATATACCTCCACAGGAAACTGAGTAGCAAAATGGTACACTGAATTTTTATACATGTTTTGGTATGCTTGAAAAGAAAACATATCCTACAGCTTTTGGATATTCAGGTTACTGATATGTTCATTAGATCTAGCTATTTAACATATGTTAAATCATACTTACATTCCAGGAATAAATTTCATTGGTCAGATTGTATAACCCTTTTAATATACTGCTGAATTCAGTTTGCTAGTATTTTGTTGAAGATTTTTGCATCAATATCCGTCAAAGAAGATATTGGTCTGTAGACGCTTTTTTTGTTGTAATATCTTTGGCTTTGGTATCAGGGTAATGCTGGTCTCATAAAATGAGCTAGAAAGTATTCCCTTCTCTTCAATTTTTTGGGAGAGTTAGAGAAGGACTGGTGTTAATTCTTCTTTAAATGTTGGCAGAATTCATCAGTGAAGTCATCTAGTCCAGGACTTTTCTTTGTTGGGAGGTTTCTGATTATGGAAACCTGATTGAATCTCCTTACTAGTTATAGGTCTATTCAGATTGTCTATTTCTTCATTATTCAGTCTTGGAAAATTATATGTTTCTAGGAATTTGTCCATTTTATACAGGCTGTCCAATTTGTTGTTATATGTTTGTTCACAGTACTCTAATAATCCTTGTTATTTCTTTGCCAATAGTAATGTTTCCACTTTCATTTTTGACTTTGGTAACTTGAGTCCTTATTATTATTTTTTGGCTACACTGAACAGCATATGAGCTCTTATATGAGATCTTAGTTCCCCGACGAGGGATCGAACCCATGCCCCCTGCAGTGGAAGCACGGAGTCTTAACCACTGGACTGCCAGGAAAATCCTCACTTTTTTTCTTAGTCTAGCTACTGGTTTATCAATTTTGTTGATCTCAAAGAACTAACTTTTGGTTTTACTGATTTTCTCTACTGTTTACCAATTCTCTATTTTATTTATCTCCACTCTAATCTTTATTAATTCCTTCCTTCTTTTTCTTTTTCTAGTTCCTTAATATGTAAAGTTAGGTTGTTGATATATTGCTTTTTGATTTGTTTAAAACTTTACATTTGTCTTTTAGCAATGCTTTTGCTTTATCCTATGAGTTTTGGTACATTGTGTTTTTTGCTTTCATTTGTTTCAAGTTATTTTCTAATTTCCCCTGTGATTTATTCTTTGAATCATTAGTTGTTTAAGCACTCTTATACATCAACAATGTGAGAATAATTTGTACATACAGTTTGTAAACAACTTGGCACTACCTTGTGAAGTTGAACATCTTCATACCCAACAATGCAGCAATTCCATTCCTTCTCTATGTGTCTTGCAATTTTTGTTTGAGAGATGGACATCTTCAATAGGACAGTAAAACCTGAGGTATAAAGTAGTTATGCTTGGGAATAGGTATGTCTCTTCTCTTGTTAGCCTTTAGGGGTCTGAGTCAATTAAGTAAAATGTTAAGCTCCATTTGGGTTTTGTTTTTGCTATGGTTACTCTCAGTGAAACAGAGGCTTCAAATTCCTCCTGCATTGCCTTGTTTTTAGAATTCTTGAAGACCCACCTTTTGAATTCATTTTCTCTAGTTCCTTCTGTTTTTCAGTTTTTCCTTTTATTGGTTTCCTCTCTGATCTTTATTATTTCCTTTCTTCTGCATACTTTGGTTTTCATTTCTTTTTCTTTGTCTAGTTTCCTACAGTAGAAGTTGAGGTCATGGTTTTTGAGAACTTTCCTTATTTCAAATCTAGACATCTTAATGCTTTAAATTTCCAAATACTGCTTGAGGGCCACCCCACAAATCTTAATCTGTATTTTCATCTTCATCAAGTTCAAAATACTTCTCAATTTCCCTACTGATTTCTGGTTCGACCCACAGTTCCTGAGAAGTGTGTTATTTAGTTATCAAATATTTGAAGATTTTCCAGGTAGCTTTCTGTTATTCATTTATAATATAATTCCATTTTGGTCTAAAAACATACTTTGTATGGCTTGAATTCTTTTCATTTCATTAGGATGTTTTCCTAGCCCAGAATATAGTTGGTAAAGGTTTAATGGGTACATGAGAAAAATGTGTATTCTGCTGTAGTTATGAGGAATGTTTAATAAATATAAATTAGATCCATAAAGTTGGTTAACAGTATTGCTCAAGTCATCTACATCATTCTATATCATTAACTGGTTTTCTGCACATACGACCAATTATTGAATATAAGGTGTTGAAATACCTAACTATACTTATAGATTTGTCTATTGCTTCTTTAAGTATTAAAATTTTTTCATTAAATGTGTTTCAAAGCATTTTAATTAGGTGCCTAAATATTTATGATTGTTATGTCATATTGATGTATTGACTACTTTATAATTATACAATTACTTTCTTTTTCCCCTTCTTTGCTTTGAAGGCTACCCTGTATAATGAGTTCAGAAAAGTTGTGATTTTTGTGGGTTATAAATGGCTTGTCTTCGTTATTTTATGAGTGGAATTGATGTACTTTCCAGCCTCCTGAATCTTTTTGGGAGCCAATGTTCCAAGGACAACTTTGAAAACATTAAGGGTATATCATTACTGGAATTCTTCTAGTTAAACACCATCAAGGAAATTTTTATCATTAGCCTACACATTGGCCAGCAATTTTTGGAACACTGCATTCTCACTAACAATATAATAAATAATAATGATAGATGTAACCATTGAACACTTACCATATACCTACTTCCATGTAAACAAACAACTTTACATGCATTTTTTAATATAACTCCCAATAAACAGATAAAGTAGGTAATTTTTAAAATTTTATGAAAGACTTAGAGAGGTAAGTAACTATTCAAAGTGACCTCATTTTCTAAGTGGATAAACTTGTTTTTGAAGGCCAGATCTTAATTCTATTATATTGAATCTCATATTACATTTATATAGTATTTCCACAGTTTACTAGGGATCTTATTCATGTCACTTTTAGAACACACAACAACTCTAGGAAAAAAGAAAGTATATGTTATTTTTACCTGTTTTTTGTTTGTTTTGTTTTATTTTGTTTTAGAGAGATGACATAACTGAAGCTCAGAGTGATTTTCTGACTAGCCCAAAGTCTCACACTAACTACTGGGAAAGCCAGATTTAAAATTTTAATTTCCTGGATTCCAGTGCAGCACTTTTTCTACTAGATCAAGCTACCACTACATCATAGGCAATAAAGGAAATTTGCTTTTATATTAGTCACCTAACAACTACTGAAATAAGTTTTAGAGCCAGCATACTGAACCATGCTATATTCTAGAGTGTGATTATATATAGTTTTTCATATTATGCTGTTGGTAATTGTACAAGTGGCTCAGGGTTCTATTCCAGTTATAAAGTCAGTATTGTTTATTATTCATAAAGTAGATCCAAAAATAGATAGAATGTATCTGTTTTGTACTCACCTGAAAATGTAGTACAGCTTGAAATAGGAGCTAACCTACCAAAACAGATATTCCCACACAATGCTGGTAAAAATGTATGGGCATGCACCACACTTATTTGGTGGATTTAGGAAACTAAGAGGTCATGCTATTTATCTAGTTCACTGGCTTCAATACATTTATATTTAACAATGAATCCTCTTAGAAATAAAACCATAGGTGAAATGTAATGAACAGAACAGATGAAAGAGAAGCTGTTCTGGTTAAATCATGGAAATGTTGCTTCAATATGGCTTGGATACCCCTTCAGTTCCCT